TGAGATTCAAACAATCTATTTCGTTCACAGATTGAGAGAGTCAGTCACCATCGATTGAGAGAGTCAATCAAATCCACCACCTTCCATCCCACCATCATATCCACTTCCGCAAAGCTTGTTGTCTTTGACAACCTTGTGAATTATAAGACTTTGTGTGATTCCAATCTTATATTATGCGTGAACTCGTAAAATCGTGTGTGTGTCTCTGTTCTTAAATTCTCGTTCATTCTCAATTCTTAATCATTGGATCTAAAAGAGTTCTTAGATCGGAAATAGAAGAGGAAGATTCGGTTTGAATCTTCACAAATTGGTATCAGAGCTTTGGTTCTAGAAGGCAGTTGAATCGATCAAGAGATGACGACGACGAGTCAAAAGATCGAGGTTACGATGTTCGATGGATCTGGAGATTTCAGGATCTGGAAGAAACGGATGCTCGCAAATCTGACAGTCTAGGGATTGAAGGACGTTCTTACCGCAAAGACGAAGGATCAGTCATCCAAGACGGAGGAGACTTCCGATCCAGCAGCAAAGAAAAAAAAGAACAAGCAGAGTCCTCAAGATTGGAGCGAGATGAAAAAGCTCTTAACATCATCTTTATGTGTGTAGGTGATCATGTTCTGCGAAAGCTGGACAAATGCACAACGGCTGCAGAGGCGTGGTCTACGCTAGATAAGCTGTACATGGCAAAGACATTTCCAAACCGAGTCTACGCGTAACTGAAGGTTTACTCATTCAAGATGCAGGACTCAAGAACGATTGACCAAAATGTAGACGACTTCTTGAAGTTGATAGCAGATCTAAACAACCTCAGCATCGAGATCCCCGAGGAGGTTCAAGCAATCCTGCTACTCAACGCACTCCCTACCAGGTATGATTCCTTAAAAGAAACCTTGAAATATAGTAGAGAGGCTATTATGCTAGAAGAGGTGGCTAGTGCAGCTAGATCTAAGGAAATGGAATTAAAAGATGCCCCTAGCTCTAATTCAATAGGAGAAGGTCATTATGTTAGAGGAAGGACCGAAACTAGGAGTCAAGGTTCGTCTAGAAAAGGCAAAAGCAGGTCTAATCGGTGTCTAAAGACGGGAAAAGAGTCTGCTGGATATGCGGTAAAGAAGGGCATTACAAGAAGCAATGCTACAAGTGGCTTGAAAGAAACAAAGATAGAAATCAGGCACTAGGTAAAGGTGAGTCATCCATGGTTAAGGATGATGCTCGAGATCTAGTCGGTTTGTTTGTCACTGAAGTTAATCTGAGCACAGAGGAGTCAATCCGATAAGAATGGGTAATGGATACAGGCTGTTCAGTCCACATGACTCCAAGAAGAGAGCTGTTCATAGATATGAAGGAGCTAAATGATAGCAGAGTTCGGATGGCAAACAACTCAGTAACAGAAGTCAAAGGGATAGGTTCTGTTCGGTTTGAGAACCCTGATGGCACAACATTTGTCCTCCACGACGTAAGATACATGCCAGGTATAGCCAGGAACCTGATGTCTTTGGGCACTCTAGAAGAAAAAGGATGTGAGTTTAAAGGCGGAAATGGTGTCTTAAAGGTGGTGAAAGTCTGTACAGTGTTCATGAAAGGGTATAGAAGGCACTCTCTATAAATTCTTCAAGGTAAGGCACGTGTTGCTTCAAAGGAAGAAGCCAAATCCAGTTCAGCGGCTCAAACAGAAGACAGTGATGTTCTGGCTCAGTTATGGCACAGCAGAATGGGACATATTGGTCAAAGAGGTTTTGAAGTTTTGGCCAAGAAAGGTTGTTTTGGAAACTGTAAAACAGTGGACATAAAGTTCTGTGAGGACTGTGTCATTGGAAAGACACATAGAGTAAGTTTTGGTTCTGCTCAGCATGTAACCAAGAACCAATTGGATTATGTTCACTCAGACCTTTGGGGGTCTCCAAATGTTCCATACAGTTTGAGCAGGCGTCAATACTTCATCTCTTTTATAGATGATTTTACTCGGAAAGCCTGGATCTATTTCTTGAAGACCAAAGACGAGGCTTTCAAAAGCTTTGTAGATTGGAAAAGAATGGTTGAAACACATACTGAAAGAAGGGTAAAGAAACTTCGAACTGACAACGGGTTGGAATATTGTAATCAAGAGTTTGATCAGTTCTGTAGAGAAGAATGGATTGTTAGGCATCGAACGTGCACCTACACCCCTCAGCAAAACGGTGTAGCTGAGAGACTTAACCGGGCTATCATGAACAAAGTCCGAAGCATGCTAAGTGAAAGTGGTCTCAGTCAACATTTCTGGGCAGAAGCTACTGCAACAGCTGTTTATTTGATAAACAGATCTCCCTCCTCGTCTATTGAGTTTAAAGTCCCTGAAGAAATGTGGACATCTGCAATGCCTGAGTTAAACGGTTTACGAAAGTTTGGATGTCTTGCCTATGTTCACTCGGACAGTGGGAAGTTGAATCCAAGGGCCAAAAGAGGAATTTTTACAGGCTATCCTGAGGGTGTTAAGGGCTTCAAGGTATGGCTTCTCGAAGAGAAAAAGGTGGTAATAAGTAGGAATGTGGTCTTCCGAGAAGATCAAGTCTACAAAGATCTCAAGTCGAATATGTCTGATAAAGAAGGTCAAGAGGAAGACATGAGAAGTATACAGGTGGAACTCAGTGAAATGCAAAGGTCATCCGTCGATGATTCTTAAGGTGGAGCTGTTCAGGAACATGATCAATCTGTTGAGACTCAAGAAAGTCCAGATGTGCCAGGACTAGAAGGATATCAGTTGGCTCGAGATAGAGCAAGAAGAACAATTACAAGGCCAGCTCGTCTAGATGATTATCAATGTGATGGAACAGATGGTGAAGACGAGCTAGCCGGTTATGTGTGCGCCATGTCTGAAGATGGAGGATCCGAGCCATCTACATTTCAAGAAGCCATGAGTGATCCAGATAGTGACAAGTGGAAGGAAGCAGCTGATGAAGAGATGATATCACTAAACAAGAATCACACGTGGGATCTTATAGATAGACCTAAGAATCAGAAGGTGATTGGGTGTAAATGGATTTTCAGGAGAAAACCAGGCATTGAGAGAGTGGAAGCACCTAGGTTTAAAGCACGGTTGGTGGCCAAAGGTTTTTCACAAAAGGAGGGTATAGACTACAAGGAGATTTTTTCTCCAGTCGTTAAACATGTTTCAATCCGGTATTTGCTTTCTGCGGTTGTTCACTATGATATGGAGCTTCAACAGCTCGACGTGAAGACAGCTTTCTTGCACGGTTACTTGGATGAGTTTATAGTGATGGAACAACCGGAAGGATATGTCGACAAGAGATTTCCACAGAAGGTCTGTCAACTCAAGAGGTCTCTTTACGGATTGAAACAATCTCCAAGGCAGTGAAATAGAAGGTTCGATGATTTCATGAAGAAAAATGGTGACATTAGAAGTGAATACGATCAGTGTGTCTACTTTAAGAAGTTCAAGAATGATGTCTACATATATCTGCTTCTGTATGTAGACGATATCCTGGTGGCATCTGTTGATAAGCAACAAGTAATGAAGTTAAAAGTCTTATTAAACACGGAGTTTGAAATGAAAGACTTAGGGGATGCAAAGAAGATATTGGGAATGGAAATAGTTCGTGACAGAGTCAAGGGAGGACTATGGATATCACAGGAAAGCTATCTCCTAAAGGTACTCGGTTCTTTTAATATGGACCAAGCTAAGTCTGTTTCTACACCAATGGGGGCTCACTTCAAGCTCAAAACAGCCAGTGAGAAGGAATTCAGGGAACAGGTGGAGTCAATGGAAAAGGTCCCGTACCAAAGTGCAGTTGGAAGTGTAATGTACGCTATGGTCGGTACCAGACCTGACTTGGGGTATCCTGTGGGGCTTGTTAGTCGTTTCATGACTAGAGCTGTAAAGGAGCACTGGCAAGCCGTAAAATGGATACTGCGGTATATCAGAGGGTCTGTTGACACAAAGTTATGTTTTAAGAATAAAGGAGAGTTTATTGTAAAAGGCTATGTGGACTCAGACTACGCAGCTGATCAGGATGACAGAAGATCAATTACTGGTTTGGTTTTTACAGCGGGAGGCAACACAATAAGTTGGAGATCGTCTCTTCAGAAGGTTGTGGCGTTATCAACTACTGAAGCCGAATATGTGGCTTTGTCTGAGGCGGTTCGAGAAGGTGTCTGACTCAAAAGATTTTCAGAAGAACTGGGGTTCTCTCAAGACTCAGTTGAGATCTATTGCGACTCACAAAGTGCAATAGCCTTGTCCAAGAACGCGGTAGTCCACAAAAAGACGAAGCACGTCGCCACTAAGTATCACTTCATTCGAGATTTGATTAGCTGTGGTGAGGTTCAAGTTCTGAAGATCAGTACCACTTACAATCCTGCAGACATTTTTACGAAAGTTCTTCCAGTGTACAAGTTGAGAGAAGCATTGCAGATGCTTCGAGTTTCAAAGAACTAAGATTAGCATCCGGTCAAAGATGCAGGTATCCGGTCAAGAATACAAGAAGGATTCACCGACGTTAAAAGCAGATCTCGTCCAAGGTGGAGATTTGAAGAATGGACGATGATCATTCAAGGCATCTTTGATGACTTGGTTAAGTTTAGCTGAGTTTACCTAAGTGTAGGAGAGACTCGGTTTCAGGTAGAGTGTCTCTCATACGAGTGGTCCACTAGGGAAGGGTGTCTTCTTCTCATTCGTTACTGCTGTGTACAGCGTGTCACTGAGCAAGCTTATAAGCTTGGTTGACTCTCTCGCTGACTAGCCGTTAGTTGTTGAGGCACAAGTTGTAACAGAGAGAGAGAGAGAGAGAGAAGACGATCTGTATCATCGGCGATTTGCCGTTAATAGTGGAATCCGGTGAGATATCGCCGGCGAGACGTAGCGACCCGGTTATGGGCGTGAACTCGTAAAATCGTGTGTGTGTCTCTGTTATTAAATTCTCGTTCATTCTCAATTCTTAATCATTGGATCTAAAAGAGTTCTTAGATCGGAAATAGAAGAGGAAGATTCGGCTTGAATCTTCACACTCCAAGTATCACGATATCAGCAATGTAATCAATATCTCTGGACGTTATGACCTGGAAAAAGGCATAGAGGAGAGTCTTGGGGGAGATTTTTGGGAAAGAATCAAGGAACATGGATTCATCGATGTTGAAAGAGGGAAAATTCGGAACCGTGTCACCGAGGAAAGTTTAATGGAGAGGTTTAAAACGGATATGCATCAAGCTTGCCTCAAGATTGACAAAGAATGCAGAGTCTTGACGGTTCATGGATCTGATGATAAGGTAGTACCAGTGGAAGATGCCAAGGAGTTCGCAAAGATCATACCTAACCACAAGTTGGAAATTGTGGAAGGAGCTGATCATAGTTATACCAAACATCAACTTCAATTGGTTTCAACTGTTGTGGAGTTTATAAAGACAATGCTTGTGAAGAAGAACTAGTCCCTTTTTTTAACTGATTCGAACAAGCTGATAATGGTATGAATCAGCTTTTCATATAAATTTTGGTTTGGATGAATCTATAGAGTTATTTGTACAGTGATTTGTTTACGTGTTCATACCGAGTTTCACAGCCTTTGCTTACGTGTCTTCAGCTTGCAAAAAGATCGTTTAGCCCTATTTTGCAATTACGTGTCGTTGTTTGATGGGTTCTTATCTTATAATGTATAAAAAAAAAACTTAAAACAAACTGGTCTAAATTATTATGGTTTATTGTTTAATTCTGTAGTCAATCAAACCGTTACATAACACCAAAATTTAGAAAAAAATTAATAAAAACGTTTTTAAAAAAACAAAAAATGGAATATATCTCTTAGGAGGTGTTATTCAATCTGTATGTTGAAATCAACTCCACCAGATTATAGAAGATCAGATTTTAAAATTTTTTTAATTCATTTAAAATCTAATGTATATAAATTGTTTAAAATTTTAAATAACTTACTAATGTTTTAGAAATCTAATAGAATAGAATTCTTAATAAAATTTAGATTTAAAAAAGATCAAAGAAAAAAACAACTTAAAACCACATAAGTAAGAAAAATATATCACAGGAAAAAAACAACATAATAAGAAAAAATTGCAACCTAAGAATAAAAACCACATTCACTCCATATTGGTTTGAATCTACCCTAGCCTTTCTTCCAGTGACATACTAACAAAAACATCTTATATTCTCAAATGGTAAATCTTGGTAAGTGCTTTGTAACAAATATGTTCTTTCAAGTCCGAAATTTCTTTTATAGTATCTCATACATTATTCTTATTTTTCTCCGCTTCTCTTTATTGTCTTTCTTTTTTTTTGCGGTATTAAATTCAATATTTGATTGCTAATCGCTATCACTGGATTTTCATCTTTTTGGGAAGTACCTCTCTCAGATCTAACTCTTCTCTTTGGTTGAAACTTCTTATGTTTATTATTTCTTATGTTTGCAAAATTTAGAAAAAAAATCTAACAAAATGTAAAAAACAAAAAAGTGGAATATATTTAAAAAATAATGAAATGTTGTTTAAAACCAAAAAAACCAAAATTAAAAAAAAAATCTAACAAAAAAGTTATAAAAAAATCTTTATATCTAACTAATGGAATGTCGTTTAAAAAAAATCATCTCTAACTAATGGAATATCGCTAATTATTATGATAGATAGGTTAGTGTTTACGATTTTTTAATGTTTATAGAGTTTTTAATTTTTTATGATTTAGTATAAATATCAGCCACTTTTCTCTAATTCTCTCATAACTCTCAAAACTGTCTAACCTCTTCCTTCTTCTTCGTTCTAACTAAAAACTCATGGAATCATCAGATTATAAACATATAAAAGATGGAATCTATATCTCTTAGTGTTTACTATTTCTTATGTTTCCAAAATTTCAAAAAAAAAAAAATCTAACATTAGAAGAAACAAAAAATGGAATCTATTTAAAAAGTAATAGAATGTCGATTAAAAAAAAAACAAAAAAATTTAAAAAAAATCTAAAAAAAAAGTTAAAGAAAAAAAAACAAAATCTATATATCTAACTAATAGAATATCGTTTAAAAAAAAAGAAATCATCTCTAACTAATGAAATATCTATCTATATATTTATTTGTGTAGTGATTTGCTTAAGTGTCGGCTCCACACCGAGTTTCAGAATGTTTCACTTACGTGTCAGCTTCATAATGAGTTTCGGCTGCAAAAAGACAGTTTAACCCTATTTTTAATTATGTGTTATTTTTTTAATTAGTTTTTATTTGATGATGTTTTAAAATAAATAAAAACAAACCGCTTCAAACTATTGTGGTTTGATGCAATGTTTTCAGACCTAGAGTAGATCGAGCGGTCCGATCGGTTGAACTGTGACTCGGCAAGATTTTCGATTGGTTTTTAATTAAAAATCCAGGATGCTATTAAACCGCTCAAACCTAGGTGAATTTGTTTAAACCTGGTGAACCGGCTAAAACTTTATCTAGGCGGTTGGTACTAATAACGTTTTGTTTTCTTTTATATTATTAAATGGTTTGTTACTTTTTCACCATCACACATTAGTAAATTTAATAATATAAAATAAAATAAAATTAATAGTTTAAAAAGAAAATAAATTGAATGAAAAAATATTGATTGAAAAATGCTTAGCAAATCAAATGTTAGAATTCAAAATTAGATAGGGAAAATCAATTTATAGCTGACATAAATATTTATTATATTTTATTGTTTTTATTTATTTATACTAAATTACAAATCTGAACGAAACTTTTTTAAAAAGAAAAACTTAAATCGATAGTTACTCACAAATAATATATGTAATCCATCGATAAAATCTAATTTGAATAGCCATTTAATAATGCAATTTTCCATCATATACATTACATGCAATCTCATTGACACTTTCAAATACAAATGAACTGATATGATCTTTATAAAATTGTCTTCATCATAACCCTCGGACTTCACATACATATCTTGCAGATTGATTGTGATTCTTTGTTGTTTTGGAAGTTATGTTGGTGAGTATATTAAAGAACCATGTAGAGAAAAAGAGAGAAAGAAACCATGACGGTGTTTTAATGTTGGTGTTTCGACATTTTGATTGTCACTATTGAGTTGGAGATTGATAGGATCAAAAATTCATAGCATTAGAAATTCCCTTAAAACAAATATTGGCAACATAAGCCAATTATTTTGTTTAAATATATTATCAATAATGTTTTTTAATGTATAATTTCTTATTGAATTTTGTATGAAACTCAATCCATAATTTTATCTACTGTAATAGTAATAAAAAGAATTTATTTGTTATATGTGATTTGTTGAGTTTTTTTAATCATGTGGATCATGCAATAAATATTAATTATTCGAATCACTGAAATTTTGATAGTTAGAAAGTATATGCCTCATAGCATATACAAAATTTAACTAAAATTTGAAAAATTATTTAAAATTTAGATTTTTAATATATATATATATATATATATGTCGTTACCATAATAGATCAATAAATCAACATTTACTTTATTTTAAATCTGTGCAAAATAATATTCAATATTAATCTTGTATATTTTTGGAATATTTATTAACATATAATATATACTTTTTACATGGTTGACAGCCTTATCAAAGCCATCGAATACCAAACATGTAATATTTTTCCAAATTTAAAAAAATACAAATGAAAGGATTATATTCCGTATAATCTAAATCAATTCGAGTCCATCATCATATAGAATCCACAAAAAAAAAAAACCACGGGCCACCAAGTATATAATGAAATGAAGTATGTGACTTAAGCTAAAATGTAAAACGATTTAAGTGTCATCCCTCGAGAGGCTTCTTCATCTTCTGACATGCTCATGTCTTAAATTTATTTTCTGTTATCTCCTCAAAGAGGATTGTATACTTTTTGATCGTACTACCTTCCAAATAAGTTTTGTCTCCTACTTCTCTTTTCTTGAAGTATATATTCTGAATTCATAAAAAGTCAGTAAACTAAACTACTTTTAAACACAAAAAGTTTATTTTTAGAGATATGTAGATAGAGAAACAGATACGTTGTAACACAAAGTATATAGGATGAACAAATGTTGATAACATGAAGAAGAGAAAACAGAGGAACATTCCTTAGTAAAAGGAGAAAAGAACTGAAATTTTGAATATAATAAACATATATAAATATTTTGTTTTAAATTCTAATATTTGATTTGCTAAGCATTTGTAACCTGCACACGATTCGGAAACATTAGCTAGTAATTGTTTAGTAATTGTTATGCTGTAGTATAAGAAAACAATTAAAGATAATTGGTAGTAAGCATTTTGCCTCTAAGAATTCAGCTACGTAAGGCGCAAACTATGAGTTTCGTGTGTGTTGCTTTTTGCAACAACAAAATGGAATCTGATGAGTGATGAATCACCACTTTTGAATCTGAAAAGTACATTTCAGTAAATTTATTACTAATGTGAACTGGTTTCAATATTCTCACTTTTTTTTCTTAAGTCGAATTTTGTAAGTTATAACTCTAATATCAACTCATATGTTTTTATTACATATACTTTTATTTAATTTGTAGGGATTTCAATATACAGTATAACTTCTATAAATTAATACTCGATAAATTAATAATCACTATAAAATAATAAATTTTGCTGGTTTCAAGTCAGACCAATGTAAAAATTCCTTAAATTCGATAAGATAATAAATTTTTTTTGAAACTCCTATGTAAATACATGGTCCCAACAAAAACATAAATTAATAATATATATTTATAAAAATATATGTAAATATAATATTCTAAAATATGACTTATAAGTTTATTTTTACTTAAAGTTGAGACTTCATTGTATTTCATCCCTCTAATTATTATATTAGTGGCTTTTGTTGTTGTTTTACGATATGTATTCAAACTTTAAGATGATTTTCGATGTGATAATTGATTTTCTTACTTTTAAATATTTTTAAATGTATTACAGTATTATCTTCAATTTTATCATCAATAATATTAATAGTAGCCATGATTTTTTATTAAATTTTAAACTTATGAACATATATTTTTATATAGACAATCCAATATACTATTAAAAATTATTCTACCATAATAACTATGATTGTTAATCATAATTTGTATTAAAAATTGTTTAAATTTTTAAATATAACATTACTCGAAATTGTTTTTTACAAAATTATAGGCGGAAAGCAAATTTTTTCCTATAAATTAATAATTAAATTAATATCACGATAAATTGATAAAATATCATGGTCTCGAGATTATTAATTTATAGAGGTTTTACTGTAGTAATATTTATTAATGTTTTTAATGTTTTTTCTTTAAATGTGATTAATTGTTTATTTCATTAAGATTTTAAATGGACAGGTGACGCTTTTTCTAGTGCTGATGTGGCAAACAGTTGGAGAAAGTTGGCCAAATTTTATACATAAAATATTCTTTGATATATTTTATTTAGTTTTTTTCCTG